TCTACACGGTTTTTAGGCTTAGTGGAGAACAACAAAAGTACACTACAGACGCGTCTTCTACACGGTTTTTAGGCTTAGTGGAGAACAATAAAAGTATACTACAGACTAACAGCTTTGTTTCTTCTTCTCTATCTACTTCCTGTATATTTTACGTTACACTTTGGAAAACAATTTTCATTTTATAACAGCTTCATATGCCATTGCAATGAATTATAAATAATCATCACTCCTTACTAATCTTCCAACATCGTTGTATTCTGGTTTCTTTATTTTTATAACAGTCATTTCATCTTAAATACAGAAGAAGAAAAAAACAAAATTCTTAGAATATAAGCTGAGACCTCTAATCTTTAGCACTAACTGATATTGTTAAAGCCACTGACGCAAGACTACAGAAGTGATTAAATAATTAATAGCTTGTTCAACGACCGACCCCCATATCCCATAATGCCTCAAATGAACAATATCTTTCTGTAGCTTTAAGTTTAACCTTTGCAGTTTGGACGCTGACCAATTGAAGATACAGAGAATACTGAATAGATAACTATTATATTTCGACCAGTAATTATAACTAATATTCATGTAACCGTTGTAATCTGGGTAAATCTGGTGTGTCTGACTACTAATTACAATTAATATTCAGGCAATCCTTGTACAGAGGATTCCGAGTACCGTCTTGAGGTACAGGGAATATTGGAAGGTAAACTGAAGCGATTAGACAAGTACACTTGTGAAGAAGAGGAACAAGAGAAAGCCATCATGATCTGGCGGGATCGAAACAAGGCTAATGAGAAGCAACAGCTACTTTCAAGTTAAGATTTTTGCTGAATTATTTCAAACCGATTTGAATCGATAAACGATTAATAATAATAATAATCAATTCAGCATTTTATTGAGTCAACCTGAGAAATCTGACTCAAAATTCTATTAAACAACGCTTACAGTTTGTTAATGTTATTGCTTACTTGCATCTCTATTCTTAAACAAACAATGATTTGCTTTTTTTTTCTTAGTTTATAAATTATTAATTTACCAGTCATGTCTGTAAATTCACTATTAAAATGTTCTTTGATAGCTTAACTATTTAATATGTTTGAATCATATCACAACTTTTATATACTTTCAATAAACTTAATTTTTCTTAGTCTATAGATATCTGTTTGTTTTGTTTTTCTGTTGTTGTGTTTTTTTTCCTGTCTGTCTTTAAATCATTAAAACGATAAACTGCATATCTTGAAAAATAGTTGTACGTTTTCTTGGAGACTTTTTGAGATTGTTTTTAATGCTATAACCTTACAGACTGTATAAACGGGTTTAAGTTTAGATGTAATGATAATAACCTGATTTCCTAATGTATTTTAATTATAAGGAAATATCTAATTTTAATCTAAGAAAAAATATTAACATTTATTTATTTATTCAGTTTCATTGTAGATAAAAATTTTGATTTACAAACTCAATTTAATACAAAAGCATTGGGCTATCTGAGCTCTGCTCACCACGGGTATCGAAACCCGTATTCTAGTGTTGTGCCACTGGGGGGGGAGGGCATTAAGATAGAAAGCAAACAATTCATAATCAAACTTAGTTAGATAGAAAAGATGTTTCTTTATAAAAAAATCGAGTTTTAAGGATAAACTAATGTTTAATGAAGAACCTACTTAATTGAATGTAACTTTTATTTGATGATGACCCGATACTATGAATCCAAACGTTGTAATCCTTGCAATCAGAACTTTTCTAGTATAAAAGTTACCTTATAAAATCAGAATATTCTTTTATAATAAGACTGAGTCAGAAAATTAAATTTTTTAAATTATAATAAACTTAAGTTAGTAAATCAGAATTTTTTTATAATAAGATTGAGTCAGAAAATTAATTTTTGTTTTTTGTAATTAAGCACAAAGCTACACAATGGGCTATCTGTGCTCTGCCCACCACGAGTATCGAAACCCGGATTCTAGCGTTGTGAGTCTGCAGACATACCGTTGTGCCACTAGGGGGCATTTTTTATTTATAATAAAATTGAGTTAAAAAATCAGAATTTTTCTTTATAATAAAATACAGTTTTAGAATTAATATTTCTTTTCAAAATAAAACTTATTTTGTTGTTCTTTCAGCGCAAAGCTATCTGAGCTGTGTTCATCTCGGGGGGATCAAACCCTGGATTTTAACGTTTTAAATTGGAGGACGAATAAAATCGAGTTATTAAGTTCGATCATTTTTTATAACTTTACATTAAGATAGATTTATAGTTTGTAATTAAGCACAAAGCTATACTCAGTCTTATTATAAAGAAATTATTTCAATTATTAAGTCACGATTAATGTATGTAGCTAACGTAAGTTTATAATTCAAACCTAATTAGGAAAAAAATCATCGTATAAGCATTACCTAACTAACTAAAATTTGGTTTAAAAACTATCACACATTTAAAGAAATCCTAGAATGGCTAAATCCAAGACCTCTAGTGGCTCAGTCCGAAGGAATATAACTCTAAAAATTGGGTTTCAATATGCTGGGGTAGCAGATAGTTCAGATAACAAAATATGGTTTATTGTTACGTCCAAATAGTTAGAACATTGAACACTAGATGGCAGGACAAACGTAAAGTATTTTAAAATACTAAATTTGAAATAGTTCTGCAGCTGTTTACTAATAAACTTCTAAAATCGTACCCTTAACAAAATTATAAATGAACGTTTATTACGAAACTTTTTACCACATAGAGGAATATGTTCATTTAGCTTCATGATGAAATATTCCTATAGAGGGCACCACATCCAGAATTCGTAGCTTACTTTTGTTTCTAATTCGAGAGGAGTTTATTTCTTGTTAAGTGCAAAGCTAAACAATGCGCTATCTGTGCTGTGCTCACCAAAAGTATCGAAACCCGTTTTTTAGCGTTATAAGCCTTCAGACTTATAGTATATCTGAGAGTCGATCAGGTAAATGTTGTTTATACAATGCTTTTTTCCCTTTAGATTCTGCATCTTTATACCATATATTTCCATAAATAAATTGTTAAAAAGCTGTCATCTTTGATCATTTTTAACTAAAGCCGGCTAGTTTTTCTTTTGATAAATATTTTGTTTGTAATTAAGCTCCACAATGGGCTATCTGTGCTCTGCCCACCAAATGTAACGAAACCTGGTTTCTAGAGTTATAAGTCTGCAGACATACCGCTGTGCCACTTGGGGGCTTGATAAATATAGAGGATAGAATTTGCTGAAAATTTTAACATTTGTTGTTGTTGTTGGTTTGTTTTAGAGCAAAGCCACATTGTTCAATCTTCTGTGTCCACCACGGAGAATTGAACCCCGGATTTCAGCGTTTAAAGTCCGTAAACTTGCCGCTGTCACACGGGGGACAGGAATTTGTTTATATAAACTTCACAGAAACACCCATGTACCATTAATTTATGGCTAATTTTGGGTAGGGTTAGCCTTGCCTACATAAATCTTTACTAACCATATAAAATTCACCACACATGAGTCTTTTGCTATTAATGCAACAATCTGAAAGTAGAAGATAAATTAAGATGGGAAAATTCCAACGCATATAATTTTGACTATGGTTAGGTGGGGGCTACCTCATGGGGTTTTAAGTATTTCTTCTGTTAATTAGGAACTTTATTATAAATATTTATACACATATCCATGTATGTACTATTCGTGTGTTGATCGTATTCGCCTCTGTTAATTGTTATAATTATTATTATTATTTGCCTCGATCTTCTTCCTCTGTTAATTGTTATAATTATGATTATTTGCCTCGTCTTCTTCCTCATCATCGAGTCTTGCTGCTGATTTAATTTGTTTGTTACAACAATCAGCACCCTTCTGAAACTTCCAAAATTTCCAGCACTGCCCCTGCAATGTCCAGAATAACAACACTGGTCAGTGTAGAAGGAACACCTTATTAATTTCAAAATTCCCTCTGGTGCTAGGACAATATTGTTCGATAATGGTACCAATACATTCATTTCCGTGTCTCGTCTCGCATCCATCAATATTGCACAGGATCCAGGTCTGGTGTTCGAAAGTTCTGAGGACACCTCTAGATGCATGCCTGGAAACAGGATTGTTTGTGTTTCTCTGTGAATTCACCATTTGTTGATGGCAGAATCTTCAGCTTTGGAACAGATTTCTCTTTGAATTCCCCATTTGTTGATGGCAGTCCTCAGCTTTGGATCAGAGTTCTTTGTGAATTCACCATTTTTTGAGGGCAGAGTCCTCAGCTTTGGAACAGATTTCTCTTTGAATTCACCATTTATTGATGACGGAGTCCTGAGCTTTGGAACAGATTTCTCTGTGAATTCACTATTTGTTGATGACGGAGTCCTCAGGTTTGGAACAGATTTCTCTGTGAATTCACCATTTGTTGATGACGGAGTCCTCAGCTTTGGAACAGATTTCTCTATGAATTCACCATTTGTTGATGACGGAGTCCTCAGCTTTGGATCAGAATTCTTTGTGAATTCACCATTTGTTGATGACGGAGTCCTCAGCTTTGGAACTAGATTTCTCTATGAATTCACCATTTGTTGATGACGGAGTCCTCAGCTTTGGATCAGAATTCTTTGTGAATTCACCATTTGTTGATGACGGAGTCCTCAGCTTTGGAACAGATTTCTCTGTGAATTCACCATTTGTTGATGACGGAGTCCTCAGCTTTGGATCAGAATTCTTTGTGAATTCACCATTTGTTGATGACAGAGTCCTCAGCTTTGGATCAGAGTTCTTGGTGAATTCACCATTTGTTGATGACAGAGTCCTCAGCTTTGGATCAGAGTTATTGGTGAATTCACCATTTGTTGATGACAGAGTCCTCAGCTTTGGATCAGAGTTCTTTGTGAATTCATTACTTGTTGATGACGGAGTCCTCAGCTTTGGATCAGAGACAATACTTTTCCCATATTAATGGGCAGTATTATGTATATTGTGAATGTGATATATCGTCGTAGTTTATGACATATTCTGAACAGATAAGAACAAGTAAATAACAAAGAACTCATATAATAACTAGATAGAAATGTTACAGTAGTTCACAATATTTGTTTGTAGTTAAGCATAAAGTTACACAATGGGCTGTCTGTGCTCTGCCCATCACGGTTATCGAAACCCGGTTTCTAGTGTTGTAAGTCCGCAGATATACAAATTGCAAATACAAATTACGTTTGCTGAATTTTTCCTATTGCGCCATCTGTTGGTAACTTTCCCAAGTGTTCGGCTGCATAATGGAAAAATTGAGTACACTTGTCAAAACCTGCTTTTGAGGGGTCGCACTTTAAAAGTAATTATTGAAAAATACTCAAGAATAAAGATTGCTATCATTTATCTTCTTGAAATATGTGCGTTGAAAACATTAAATCTGAAAGAAAAATTGATATGAAACGTAAAACAAGGTACTGCCAACATATTTCCACTTGGCTGTCGAGCTGTTGTTTTTTGGCGCAAAGTTACACAGTGCGTTATCTGCGCTATGCCCCTACTACGGGTATCAAACGCTAAATTTTAGCGTTATAAGCCTTCAAACTTACTGCTGACCCACTGGGAATTGGTAAAAGATGTCCCTAGAATAATTGTCAGTTATAATTGTTAATTTACATGGTAAAGAAGTTTATTACCTGTCAAGGTATACAATCTTCTTCCTCCAGCTTTGGAGTCCCGTAGAGGCACGTTTGTCAGTACGCAGTCAGGTAGCGTTGCGCCGTCCACTTTTACATGATTATTATTGGGTGTCCTTTGTTTTACTATTGTCATTATTTTTATTTAACACCAGATGCCAAATGCAAATAAGGTTATTTTAATATTAATTCTACTACTGCTTTGTACTTGAGGAATTTGGGGCTGGTCTCGGCACAGGGTCTCCTCCATCCAATAATCCCCTCAAGGTCCTTCCAGCACACTTTCGCGCCCGTTTTTTTCCAGTTGACCAGTGTTAATCAGTTTTATGATAACAATGGTATGTTCATACTTGAATTTTTATTTAGGCCCGACATGGCCAGGTGGTTAGGGCGCTCGACTCGCAATCTGCGGGTCGCGGGTTCGAATCCTCGTTACCAAACATGTTCGCCCCCTTCAGCTGTGGGGCGTTATAATGTGATGGCCAATCCCACTATTCGTTGGTAAAAGAGTAGCCCAAGAGTTAGCGGTGAGTGGTGATGACTAGCTGCCTTCCCTCTAGTCTTACACTACTAGATAGGGACGGCTAGCGCAGATAGCCCTCGTGTAGCTTTGCGTGAAATTAAAAAAACAAACAAATAATTTTTATTTGTATTTTACTAGACATGTGTTGTTTTGAACCTGAACGGAATCTTATGAGAGACCATGGGTTTGAAGCTTAGCCATTCCTAATTTAGAACTTCTGCAGGGGGGAGGAAAACAATGTAGCAACGCCCGACGCCTACACGGCTACGCTTACCACACTTATAATGCCCTCACAGCTGAAAGTGCTCAGAGGCATATCGTTGCTATAACCTTGGACTTCGACTAGCCACTAAGTGTAAAAATACACTAAGAAGCCAAAGTTCTGGTCTCAGGTTACACTTGGGTCTAATTAATATTAGTAATGTCTTTATTACTCTCTCTTCAGTAACTTCTGAGAGCAAAACAATGGAAAATTAAACAGGAAATGTTTATTTCCTGTTTATTAATCCTTTATTCAAGGATTATTGCTCCTCATTAATTACAAGCTGTGCCCGGAAATTATATTAAAACATTTATTTTAGGGCGCAGATTGGCTCTGTAGTGGAGCTCTCAATTTTAGAGATGGCAAACCAGGTTCAAATCCATGCGATGCCAATAATATATTCCCTTCACTTTTAAACTGTCAATCCTTTAGAGTGGAGGAAGGTGGTATAGTGTCTGTTGACTGATTTGTCTTTTCTCTGGTCAGTAGCTAAAAATTATGGACTTTAGATGCTAGACTTGGTAGCTTTTCTATTAACACAAAATACAAATATTTAGTGCTGAAAATCCAGGCGATCCTACGTCACGTTGCCATGACATTCCGTTCATGCTGAAATACACCTCCGTGGTTATTACTTAGCTCTTTCATCAAAAGGTATAGTTTATCTCAATCGTCAAAAGGTGTGTTTGGCAGCTGATTCGCGAGTCACGACAGAAGAATTTGATAGCGAATGCGACGTTAAAGCTCATCAATATATATATATATTTAGTCACACTGAGATCTGGTGAGTGTGATGGCTCCGCCCAATTGAGATCTGGTGACTGTGATAGCTATCCTCGAACTGAGATCTTGTGAATCTGATGACTCCGTCGAACTGAAATCTGGTGACTGTGATGTCTCCGCCGAATTGAGATCTGGTGAATCTGATGACTCCGTCGAACTGAAATCTGGTGACTGTGATGGCTCTGCCGAACTGAGATCTGGTGACTGTGATGGCTCCGCCGAATTGAGATCTGGTGAATCTGATGGCTTCGCCGAATTCAGATCTGGTGCCTGTGATAGCTCCGCCGAAGTGAGATCTGTTGATTGTAGTAGCTTCGCTGAACTTATGCATGATGACTGTAATGGCTCCGCGGAACTGATATCTGGCGACTGTGATGTTTCGGTCGATCTGAGATCTTGTGATTGTAATGGCTCAGTCGAACAGAGATCTGGTGATAAACATTAGAATAATAAAGTTATATTTAATTGAGCCACTGAAACTATTTCTTTCCATAGTCAATTTAAAATCAGAAATCATAACAGGCTGATAACAGAAGTTGTTGGAATATTTAGCCCATTGGCTATATAATGGTTGGAGACGGCTTGAATGATGACAAAACCTTGTCGAAACGTTGTACATATGCTGTTATGTTAAACTTATATTAAAGTTTTTCTTCATTACCCATTCAAGCCGTCTCCAACCATTATTAGTGGGTTCCTCGTCATCGAATTTGAATTCACCATTGGCTATATGCTCTCTATCCACCTACGGGAATCAAACCCCGGAATTTAGCGTTGTAAGTCTGGATATTTACTGCTTATCCACCAAAGATGGTATAAGAAGAGAGTGCCTTATCATTTTATGAAATGGTGGTGTTCAGTTAGATGGTGACTTAGCATTTATTTGAGAATTAGCAATAAATCAAGATAAAAATAATACAAAAAAAATCACTGTTGATACCAAAATTGTTTTTTTTAGTTTGAAGATTACGAAAAAAGAGAAAAAAGAGAGAGAGAATTAAAACCATTTTCTCCGAGTTTTTCTAAATTAGTTGCTGTTGAACTCAGCCTTTCTCTAACCCTCACCTTTACTCGCTATACAAACATAAATTATGAACGCATGTTACAGATATATTAATCACTAACGACAAGTACACATTAAAATAACAATACATTTTGGCCTTTAGAATCGTCAATTCTGGCGCAGAGAATTACCTTTAAACCCATAAATTAGTTTTTAACTCACAATATTAACTATTCGTTTTTATTTTTATCTATTTTTATTTATTTTAAAAGAACGAATAAGTTAATATTACCGAAACTCCGCAAGTTAACATTACCGAAACTCAGCAAGTTAGCATTACCAAAACTCAGCAAGTTAGCACTACCGAAACTCAGCAAGCTAGCACTACCAAAACTCAGCAAGTTAGCATTACCAAAACTCAGCAAGCTAGCATTACCGAAACTCCGCAAGTTAACATTACCGAAACTCAACAATTTAGTATTACCAAAACTCAGCGTTTGGATAAACAGGCTACTTTTAGGATCAAAGGTCAAGGTCAGAGGCGTTCCTCGGCGAGTCAGCATAACGGTAATGTTTCATATATAGATGAAAATAACTCTGTTAGAACTATCTGTAAATATATTTCTCCGCAAAAAAACAACAAACAAACAAACTGGCAATTTTTAAATGACGACTACTTCCAACGTTTATATTGCTTTGGTTGTGCTAACTTCCATATTCTTACATTAAAACCCAGTAGGATTTATTTATATTACTTTGGTTGTGCTAACTTCCATATTCTTTCATTAAAACCCAGTAGGGTTTATTTATATTACTTTGGTTGTGCTAACTTCCATATTCTTACATTAAAACCCAGTAGGGTTTATTTATATTACTTTGGTTGTGCTAACTTCCATATTCTTACATTAAAACCCAGTAGGGGTGTGTTTATATTACTTTGGTTGTGCTAACTTCCATATTCTTACATTAAAACCCAGTAGGGTTTATTTATATTACTTTGGTTGTGCTAACTTCCATGTTCTTACATTAAAACCCAGTAGGGTTTATTTATATTACAGAAGGTAGCACAACCAAAGTAATATAAGTAAACCCTACTGGGTTTTAATGTAGGAACATAGAAGGTAGCACAGCCAAAGTAATATAAGTAAACCCTACTGGGTTTTAATGTAAGAATATGGAAGTTAGCACAACCAATGTAATATAAATAAACCCTACTGGGTTTTAATGTAAGAATATGGAAGTTAGCACAACCAATGTAAGAATATGGAAGTTAGCACAACCAAAGTAATATAAATAAACCCTACTGGGTTTTAATGTAAGAACATCTACTGGGTTTTAATAAAGTAATATAAATAAACCGGTTGTGCTACCTTCTATGTTCTTACATTAAAACCCAGTAGGGTTTATCTTCGAAAATTTTACTTGATGAAAGAAAAATGACAGAAGTTTTTGCGACAAATTAAGTTGTTTGTTGTGAAGCAGAAAGTTACACAATGGGCTACCTATGCTGTGCCCACCACAGTTTTTAGTATTATACGTCTTCTGACTTACCGCTGAGCCAATGAGGGGGGGAGGCAAGTTTTTTAAGACATTTTCCGCAAAGCTACTCGAGAGTTATTTTCGCTAGACTAGAGAGAAGGCAGCTAATCCCCACCACAGACAGCCAACTCTTCTTTACCAACGAATAGAAGGATTCATCGTCACATTATAACGCCCCATGGATAAGAGAGTGAGTATATTCGGTGGTGTGATTCGAACCCGGAACACGCAGTCGAGTGCCCTAACCACCAGGCCATGTTAGGCCCAACAAGTTAAGAAACTAAAAGCTACAACACATCAAAGACCCTTTTGACATTCCTAGATTTTTTATACAGAAATTAAAGTACAAATATATGTATATAGAGTGGAACCTTTCTTTCTCCATTGTCATCAGTGGCTTTGGAAGCGCCTTCCCACCCGCTCACCCACCCACCCACCCCCCAGAAACCAATAGCATTCGGAACACTAAGTAGAGCCCTGGGCTCGGTCGTAATTGGTTCGGCTGTGGTGCTCGTTCACTTGTTTCGCTCGGTCAAATAAACTTCGCCCCCCCTCCACTTTTAATAGCCCTCCCACACTCCTGATCATGACCTCTTCATTGTGGCGTCATCCGTTTGCTACATGTTTGAACGTTAAGAAATTTTCTTGTCGAAATTAAAAGAGAACAAATCCCGCAAAGCTCATTAAGATCGTTTCGTTGTCAGGATCTAATAAATAATATAATATATAAATAAAAAGGATAACATATTGTTTAAAGAGAACTTTCCTGACCTGAAAGACAAAAAAAGTTCTTATTTCCGTTTGTCAGCTTG